GCCCGCACGCCTGCACGCCCGCGCCGCTCTCCCTCCGCGGGCACGGCGCGCTCGCCCGGACTTGTCCTGCAGGGCCAATCGGCGCGCCGGAGCGGGCAGGGGGCGGGGCCACAGACTGGACCGCGGCCAATGAGGGCGAAAGGCTAGGAGAAGAACGGAGAGGAAAGCGAAGGGAGCTTGGAGAAAGGGGCGGGAATCGCGGCTGAGGGCGGAGACCAATGAAGAACCAGTCTCTCTTAGCCCCGCCTCTTAGCCTACTGGGCCAATCGCCGCCAAGCTTTAACTCCGACTACCTTCGTAAAGGGGTGTGGGAGCCTGGGAGACTGACGTTTTTTGTAACTAATAAGAAGCTATGACTAGCAAACGCGAGTGACTAGCCCCGCGCCCCCCAGCCAATCAGACGCTTAGGAGAGCTAGTTGCTAGGAGAAAAGCACGTGTCTTTGGGTCAACTCTTTGTTTTTTATTTATTTATTTTTTTTAACTCTTTGCTTTTTAAATGTATTGTTTTAATTTGTATTAGTACATGTTTGCACTACATTATGATGACATTCATCCCGGGGAGCTGGTTCATGTACAGATTTTAACCCTGTTTACTTCCCCGCTCCCCCGCCCCCCCCCCCGGGGTCTAATCTCAGGGTCTCCAAAACGCGCACGCTCCACTTCTGAGACGAGTCCCGAGAAAAATGTCGGAGGAGAGGCGCGCAGTGCCTGCTTGGGCGCCGCGCCCCTGGTCTGGGGTCGTGGCTCTCCACTCTGTGTGTGCGGCAGAATCCCCTGGGGGAGTTATATTTGAGATAATTTACATAGAGTACGATGTGTAGATCTTCAGCGTACAGTTCGATGACTTTTGACAAATGCTTTTTTAGGGCCCAGATGTGTACTGGGCGCTCAGAGTCTGACTTAATATTTTGGGTGGGGTCTGGGCGTCTTGAGGTTGCCTAGACCAGTCCTCCAGGGCAGTGCTGAGGTGACCCAGGTGCCTGGGTCCCCATTTTGGGGAGGGGAGTTTCTGATGTGGAGGAAATTGCAGGTCTTAGAACCTTTGAGAAGCCAGGACTTTATTGTTTGTTTGTTTGTTATTATTGATTGATTGATTGATTGATTGGTCTTTTTGAGACAGGGTCTCGCTATGCAGTTCAGGCTGGCCTTGAGCTCACTTTGTAGCCCAGGCTGGCCTCGAACTTGCAACGATCCTCCTGCCTCAGCCTCCCAAGTGCTGGGATTACAGGCGTGCACCACCATGCCTGGGGAGAAGCCAGGACTTCATAAAGTGTAGGATGCAGGACTGAATCTCAGAGAAAGCTCTGCAAAGGTCTGGCCCCATCCCCCGAAAGCAGTTGGACCTACAAAGGCGGCGAGGGTGGGGATGTGGGCAGGGTATACCTTGTAACCCACTCCTTGAGGCTCCAACTCTTTGCCTCTCCCAGTGCCCCATGCCTTTTTTTCCTGGCCTTTGCAGGGTAGTCTCCTTGGCCTGAACTGTTTCTGCATTTTCATTTACCTTTTTCACCTGGCCTGCTCCTTAGATATCACCACCTCCAGGAAGCCTTCCATGACTAACCCTTCCTCAAACACACACATCAGGGTCTTTTAGGCAGCTGTTATGGTTTATATCTAGATGTCCCGTAAGAGGCTCATGGGCTCACAGGCAGGCCTTTTGGAAGATGATGGATTATAGCTGACCTTCCATTAGGAGGTGGGGTCTGCTTGGAGGAAGACGTGACCTGGAAGGTTTTATCTCCCTGCCTGGCTCCTCCTCCACTCTGCTTCCCGGCTGCCATGACAGGAGCAGCTTTTCCTCTGCTGTGTCCCACTGCCGTCCTGCTTGGGGCCAGCAGACTATGGGCTAGAAACATGAGCCAAAGTAAACTTCCTAAGATGTGGGTGTCAGATATTCTGTCCCAGCAATGAGAAGTGACTGAGGCAGCGGCACACCCCTGACCAGGCTAATGAGCATGTGGCTGGGCTTGGGGAGGCCGGCGAACGTCGGCTTCTGGTGTCACAGTACCTGTTTGTAACTTCTGCCTGTCTGTCCCTAGAAACCCCCAGGGTGGGTGTTAGGGCTGAGCTCAGGAGCTGGCCCAGAGCAGCTGGGACAGATCCTTTCCCACCCGCTCCTGGGCCTTCCTTGCCTGCTCCTCCTTGCCTTCCTGCGGCAGGAAAATAGAGGCAGCAGCTGCCAAGCTTCTTGGGCTTCTGTGCTCCAAGTGGTGATCTGATACTTATAGGAACCTCACGGGGCTCTCAGGACGCCATGGTGGTGGGGTTGTTAGACTGTGTGTCAGAAGAGGAAACCGGGAAACTAAAGAGGTGAGCAAACCTCTAGGGTATCGGGAACAAGCCTGGGCTTTGGAATCCTCAGCTTGAGCTCCCCAAGCCCGGCCCATTCCTTACTCATTGCAATGTCAGCAGCCTCATCTCCCCACCTGCAAGCGCCGATGGTATTCACTTCCCTGGGAGAAGAGAAAGGCTCAGAGTACAGCTCAGAGAACTCTCCACAAGCACCGACTGTCAGCATTTTAGACCGGAAGAAAGAAAGGAGGCAAAGAATATGCAATCTTCCCTTTTTATGAAAGTGGCTTCTTTATTTTGAGGACAGAAAATAAAACTATCACTTGAGCAGATGCTCCAGTTTTGTCCAAAATAATTTATTTACCAGCCTTACAAAAAATACGTTGGCAAGAGAAAAATAAGTCTTGTAGGAGCAGGCAAGCCTGTCCTTCCTTCTGGTGGCTTCCCTGGGACCCTGCCGGAGGGTGGGGAGAGGAGGGGACCCCAAGCTCAGGGTAGAAAAGGAGAAGGTCAGGAAATGGAGGGCTGTCCGGAGCCCTCCTGGCCGTGGTGGCCGACCCCACAGGCACCGAGGCACTTGTGGGTGGAAGCTGGGGGCCCCCACCCCTTTGCGGGTCGAGGGCTGCCCCTGGAGGGTGGGGACACTGAGGGCCGGTCAGCGGGGAGCCTCATGCTCAGTCGGTCTCGGAGGCAAGGCCCCTGGGCCGGGGCTGAGGGGGCACAGCGTGAGGAGTGGGGACCTCACCTACAGCCTCAGAGGGCCCCCCATCCTCTGTGTACACTCGCAGTGCTTCTACCTGCACAGGTGAGCTCGAGGAACCAGGGCCGGGGGAAGCTGGGCTGGGGGAGGCCGGCGAACGTCGGCTCTGGCGTCGGGCTGGCTGAGGGGGAACAGGGGGCAACGGGGGTGGCACTGTGGGGGCCCGGAGGCTGCTGCCTACCAGACGGCGTGGCAGAGCCCGGGGGGTCACAGGGCTGCCAGGGGGTAGGGGTGGGACTGGAGGAGAGGAGCGGGTGCTAGAGAGCTGAGGGGGTGGCATGGTGGGCCGGGCCGGCGCGGGGCGCTTGGCTGTGGAGGAAGGAAATGGGGAGTTAAACATCACAAGCCTGTGGTGCATCCATAGAGCTCAGCCCCACCCCAGGACCTTTGCATATGCCATCCCTTCTGCAGCAGACACTTGCCACAGCCAGTCGCTCATCAGGAGGTCTCCCTTCAGGAGCTTTACCCCCTCAGCGCCTCCCCAACTACCTCACTACAGCAGCACCCTGGCCCACCCCTTTCTTTATAGGACGGTCTCTGAAATGATCGCATCATTTTCTCTTATTTGGTCAGTGCTTGTTTCCTTCACGACACCATAAAGCTTCCTAGCCCCGCGCTGGGTGCACAGTAGGTATCTGTACACACTTGAATAAATAGGCAGCGCCTGTCCCTGCAGACCCCTGGGTCTTGCTCACCTCCTCTCGGAAGCCCACGGGAGCTACCCCATCCCTGCTCCCAAACATCCGACCCCATGAGGCAGCCAAGGTCTGGACTCCAGCCCTAGCTCTACCCGCTGGAGATTTGGAGTGACTCCCTTGCCCCCACCTGTTTCCTCACTGGTAAGATGCAGGGAGAGCCTCGAGCTCCCCTAGCTGGTGTGAGGACCCGCTCAGGGGACACTGGGAAGACAGCACTTTGAGCAAATACCCAGCCTGCCTCCTCCTCCAGCTGCCCTGCATGGTGTGCCCAGGTGGCAACCCTAGGGACCCAAGGCTGGCGGGGCCTCCCAGGGGTGCCAGAAACCCTGGTGAGGACTCCCTGCCCTTCTCACCTGTTCCCGGCCCTCGCCTCCTCCTGTCCCTCAGCCCTCTGTGACCTCTGGGCCTCTTTGACCCGGGACACCCAGGCTTTCTGTTTTCTGGTCCTGGAGTTCCGCCCTCCTCCTGCAGCCTGTCATTCTGCACACAGTCCTTCCAGGCAAGTCCAGCTACCATCCCACCCACCAGGGCAGGAAGCTGAGACTTGGACTGGCGACGTCACCTGCCCGCGTCACAGAGCTGAGTCTGAACCACAGTGCCAGGTGGCGAGTCCTGGGCTTCTAACCACCTCCATCTGTGAACTCCCAACAGTCCAAAAGGATGGGAAGCCTGGGATCATTTCCGGCCCGCCCTGTCCCCTTCTCTGCTCCCACAGCCAACTCACTCCTCCGGGCCGTGTCCTCTGCCGGGGCGGCTGCCTCTGAGGGGCTCTTGTTGATTACGGGCGAGACTGGTCTGAGTGGTGCTTCAGACTCTGTCCTGCGAGGGGAGGACAGGAGAGGGGCAAGGACAGGCTTGGTCATCTTCTAGAGGTCACCTGTAACTTGGGGAGACTCCCAGGTCTCTGCTTCCCAGAAAGGCCTTTCCTGTGGCTCCCCACTCAGCCTGCATCCTGCCTCAGCCTCCTGCAGGGTGCCTCCGGTACCCTGACATCACAGATGCCTCTGGGGACATGTTGCACTCTCCACAACTCTGTAATGCCAGCTCAAAGGACAGCACCCGTTTGCCTGGCTCATCAGAGGAAATCCAGTGTGGGTCACACATCCTGTGGGAAACTAAGCAATTCCTGCTTGGTACGGAGGCAACACCACCCCGTGAAGCTCTTCCGGACTTAAAGATCCGGGAGAAGACTGAAAGGTGTTTACAAATTCCAAACGGCCACTTCCCAGCTCTCTAAGTCTGCAGGGCCTGAAACAGTGCCTGGCACAAAGTAGGTGCTCAATTAATCACCATATAAGGACCAAGGAGCCACATCTAAGGCTGAGCAGGGCACTGCCCCCAGCCCCCGCCTCGGAATTGAGAGACAGGTCTTTCAGATGAAAATACCAAGAACAACCTTTCCTAAGTCCTGAGAGGCTAGGAGAGCAGCTGTTCATACTGCTCAGTTCCTACCTTTCCTTGGGCACCACTAAGGTCGAGCTCAGGGCCTGGGCTGGAGCTGGGGCCAGGGTGCTCGCTGAAGCCGGGGTGCTCGCTGGAGCAGGCGCAGCAGCAGCAGGTGGTGACTCCTCTGAGGCCAGCCTATCACTGACCTTGTCCTGCGGGGCGAGGGCTGAGAAGAGGCCGGATACGTTGAAGTTGATGTCTGGGGACAGAAGGAACAGGTCTCAAATTCAGCACCTTCATCAGCCTGGGCAGGGGAGGGCACACGGGGCGACAGTCACAGAGGCAGGAGCTTCACCGCCAGGGAAGAGGGTGTCCGCATTCTGTATCAGCGCCTCGACCACGCCCACCACCTGGATAGAAGACACCGAGGCTGCGCCCAGCTGGGCCTGGTCCCTGGCACAGAAAGGGAGAAAAAGCGGGTCATCGCCTCTGCAAAGCCTCAGTCCCTCAGCCATGACACATGTCCCTCATCATTAGGGGCCCTGACCACAGTTCTTGGGTCCAACAGCCCCTACTGAGCAATTGTCTCTGCACACTGATGAAATCTTTGCACCTGCCGGGGATATAGCTCACCAGGCAGAAGCACCTGCCTGGCAAGCGCAACGTCCTGAGTTTGATTCCCGGCACCAAAGAAAAAAATCTTTGCACCATCTGGAGCCCATCTGGAATCATCTGAAGGATGATTTCTCACACCCCACAGCACTTTACAGTTTGTAACACCTCTCATGATCTCATCTGATCCCCAAGGCAAAGCCCCTCAAGTTTGTGCAATTTCTCCCCAATTTACAGGTGAAGTGGAGGTTCAGAGAGCGACTCCCCAAGGCCATCTCTGGAGGGCAGGGGTGGGGCTGGAAGCAGAGCTCTGGGCTCCCAGCCCCCACCCCAGGGCACCTGGCACCCCAGCACCATTACCCAGAATGCCTGTGTCCAAAGTCCTGAGGGGTCGCCAGTCTTTCAGGCTGTTCCACATGCAGGCTTGGGAACAGGAGCTGCCCCATCTCCGTAAGTGGGGAAACTGAGGCCCCAGGGAAATAAGGAGCAGCTGGCCTGGCAGAGGACTGCTTCCCTCCTGCCACCTTCCCCTGCCCATGGCTCCTCACCCTTCTTTCTCAGGTGGCCACAGCAGGTTGGGCCCCAGGACAATGGCGATGTTGCTGGGCGTCATCTTGTTTACATCCTGCTCCTTAGCCAGCTGGGCCAGGAACTTCATCAGGTACCTGGGTAGGAGGTAGGCTTGGGATGGGGCCAGGACATCCTGGGCCAGAAACACCCATCGATGCCCCTGAGGCCTGAGAACCTCCCTGCCCTGTATTTCCAGAGTGGAAAGGAACCTACAGGCTTTTTTTTTTTTTTGGTATCCTACAGGCTTTTAACTTTTCTTTTTTTTGCAGCACTGGGAATAGAACCCATGGCTCTGTGCAAGCAGCCAGTGCATGTAGCCACTGAGCTACACCCCAGCCCCCAGTTTTAAACTTTGAACAATTAAATCAGCTGATCCACTTACCACGTACCAAGTGCCAACCACATGTTGGGCACAGAGCTATGAGAATCCTCCCACTGGGGTGGGGACTATGACCTCGGTTGTTTTTTGTTTGTTTTGTTTTTGTCTTTTTGAGGAAGAGTCTCGCTATGCAGTTCAGGCTGGCCTTGAGCTCACTTTGTAGCTCAGGCTGGTCTTGAACTCGAAACAATCCTCCTGCCTCAGCCTCCTGAATACTGGGATTACAGGTGTGGCATGTGCCACCACACCCAGCAAGACCTGTTTATTCCAGATGACGACACCACTTACTCCCAGGGCCACATAGTAGCTGGCAGGGGTGGGGCTTGAAGCTGGGCAGTGTGACTTCAAAGTTCAAGGTGTTTGTTTATTTCAGTGTCTAGTGTGAAGAAATACAGCCCGTCCAGCAAAGCTGGGTTTTCAGAAGTATTGCTTAGGACACGGTGGCAGGGCCAGACTTCAACCACGGCCTCCAGTCCCAGCTGGGCTCGGGCTCTGGCTCTGGAGGTAGCCAAGGAGGTAGCCCAGGCTCACCTGAGATTGCTGAGGTTCTCGGGGGGCAGGCGGCTGCACACCTCTTGGAGGGCCTCCAGCCGGGCCCCGGACTCCTTCAGGCTGAGGAGGGAGAGTGACAGTGACCCCTAGCTCTGTGGCCTCTTCCTCCCCATCCCTCCTCACGCCCACACCTCACCTGGCTGCTCTCATCCAATCATCATAGAGGTCGAAGGTCATCAGGGGCTCTGGTAACTCCCGGAGATAGGATTTGAGGGCACCTGAAGCAGAGGCAGGGGACAAGGTCAGAAGCAGCCCCCAACCTGCCCCTGTACCCCCAGTGCCCAGCTCTCTCCATATGGAAGGAATCTCCAGCCCTTGCTCACACTAACATGTCCAAGTCTAAGGGCTTCTTTGGGCCACAACCCTTTTGACAAAATGGTTAGTGACCTTGTCCCCCGAAAAATGTACATACATGTCAGGGGGTTCATGGCAAACCCTGTTAGAAACCCTAAGTCTCCTCTGCAGAATATCAGGCCTTAAAACAAAACCACCACCCCGACCCTCCTGCCCAGGGCTCCCTGTGTCAGGCACCTGCCACGGCGTGCGGGTCGGAGCAGAACTCCTCCAGGCCGCCAGGGTCCGAGGCCATTGTCTGCTTGAGGCGCTTCAGCACCGAGGCCCCTGCGGCCAGACGGAAGAGGCCCTGGGGGTCAAGAGGGCGGAGGTCACGGAGGGGGCCAGAGCAAGGCACCGGCTGGAAGCCCTGGCTCACTCATAGTCTGTGCAGGCTGCTGGCCCTCATTGTGCCCGTGGGTATGGTGGGCAGATTGGACTCGACTTCCAGGTCTATAATTCTGACCAAAGAGCCTAGGAAGTCTGGGGGAGCTGAGCAAAGCTGGGGGGAGACAGGAATCTGGCCAGGAGTGGAAAGCAAAGGGGGCCAACAGGACCGGCAGGAAGCCTTTTTTATCTTCAGATATTTCCCACCTATATATATATATATATTTTTAAAGATCTTCATAGTAACTTTTTTGTTGTTGTTTGTTTAAATTTATTTTAAAAATAAAAGAAGGAAAACATAGGGAAGAGCCATGGTACTGACGTCATCAGTAAGAGACAGGACAGATAGGGGCCAGCCTGTGAAAGTGGCTGCACTGCAGAGCCCTTGGTTTCCATGGCACCTTCTCGTGGGACTTCGGGCATGTTTTCCTCTTTGCCTGTCTCCCCTTTCCAAAATGGAGCCAACAAAGGATCATGAAGTATGGCAAGGAATGCCACGGGCCTTCCGTTCTAGGGAGGGAGTGACCCTCAGTCCACGGGTGGCCATGTCCGCTTTTGGGACCTCCCACGAACTGGGAACTGCAGGCCCCAGCACAGGGCAGTGTGTGGAGGGTCAGGGCAGCACAAGGGCCCAATGCCCCTTCCCCACCTCTTCCCGCATGCCCTCGGACAGCAGCATCAGCACACAGGCCTCGATGGGCAGGGCGATGTCCCGGCCCAGCTCTTGCAGATGAGTCCCCAGTGACACCCCATACACCCTGGAGGAGGGGGCGGCCGTCATCGAGGGGGTAGGGTCTGCAGGGACGAGACAGATCAGAGGCCCAGGGCCCTCCCACCGCTGAGCAGTCGGGGGCACCCCCAGGTATCTTCAAGGTGGTACCACCGTGCACCCCACTCCACGCGCACATCTGGAATCATGCACCATCCCCCATGGAGCAGCCCAACCTCCACTTGTCCACTGTCACCTCCCTTCTGCCTCCTAGAGGGTCTCCTGGCTCTGGTCCTGCCCCTTTCATGCCACCCTCCACAAAGCAGCCACAGCAACCTCTGCACGCAAACCAAACTCAGCCAAGACTCCCTACTGCGTCCTGAGCCGGGCGGGATTGGGCGGAGCTTGGCCTGCCCAGGTGCGCACCTGCTTGGCTGTGGTTCTCCTTCAGCTCAGCCAGGGCTGTGTCCAGAGAGCTCAGTGACCTGCGATGGTAATCGGCCTGAATCTCCAGGAGCTGCGGGGACAGAACAACACCCCCAGGGGAGTGAGGGGCGGAGCCTTCCCCGGGGTCCCTAGAGCAGACCCACCCTCTCTCAGGGGTCGCAGTGGCCCCTGGCTCTGGCATCTGCCTCCGAGCTCTGATGGCTGAGGCGAGGGCTTGGACTCACGTGGATGAAGTAGTTGGCATATGAGTCCTCCTTGGTGGCAAAGTGATACAGGTCGGCCAAGTACTCATCCTTGGGGACACAGAGAAGAGAGTTTGCACCAGGGGAGGATAAAGGTCTGATGGGGAAGCTGAGGCCCAGAGAGGACAGCTGCCTGTTCAGTTATTCGAAGAGGATCCCCGCTGGCTTCTCTCTCAGCCAAGGTCTGTACTGGGCCAAGCCCACTGAGAACCCCACAAACTGTGAAAGGCCTCCAACAGCCTCTAGTCTTCATCTGGGGGTCCTAACATTCCCAGCATGGTGCATCATTTCTCACCATGCGGTCACTCCTTTTTTTTTTTTTTTTTTTTTGGTTTTTCTCCGGTACCGGGAACCGAACTCGCG